TGTACATATTTGGCATTCGACGCAGAGATCACATTTCTCATAAATTACAGGATTTAAAATGGTTAAATATAAACAATCGTCTGAGATTACAAACTTTGAGCCTATATCATCAAATAATTTGTACAAAAACTCCTTCATATCTGTATAACAAAATTCACTTTCGTACTGATGTACATAATATAAACATTAGAAATAAACATTTTATAACTCCACCTCCACATAAAACCAGTTTCTACGAACGATCATTTACTTATAACATCNTTTGATCTAAACTGGTGACGTCACATAGTAGTTTAAATGACTGACTATTCTCGCAAAAACTTAATATTCACTCATACTACACATACTACAACATACGACTTCACTCGCGAAAAAAAGCCTAATATAGTCCGAGACAAACAGGTGTATGTGGAGTTAATATTCTATTAGTTTAATTTAGGAGTATTAACTCCACATATATCAAAATCATGTTGGTTTACTTTAGTATTATATCCACATCCATCGTGTATTATCGCACAATTAGTAAATATTATAATATAAAATCCCTAAATCATATTTGTGCCAAATAGTGTTAACTCCATTTTTTCGAAAAAAAAATACGAATAGAAAATTATTCTTTAAATTACAATAAATAATATTAACATAGACGTATAACTTCGCATCATACTAATTTTTTTTATCAATGAGAAATAAGAGTTCGAAGTTATGGAATGATAAGCAAAATTTAAATCTTTAAATCTCTCTCTCCTGTAAAATTTCATTTTTGGCACTTAATACAGTACAGAGGTACAGATATACAACATTAAATATAACATCAATTACTGGTAATTAAGAAGAGAAAGAAACAGAAATTGACTAACAATGTGGAACACGTGGAGTGAAATAAAGTGAGGTTAAATGTTAAAATCTATACAAAATTAAAATATATACAAATTTCTTTGGCTTTTTTCTTTGGCTTTTCATTAAATCACCGAAGTGTGTACTCAAGATACAGTCGTTATTATTTACCTTATATTTTTGTTCACGTTTATCACCACTCAAAAAGTCTCGGACTAATTTTTTCACAATTTGTTGCAGAGCTACTTGCACACATTCACTTCATTTTATTACAAACACTTTTTAATATATTACTGTACAATAATTTAACCAAAATTCCATTTTACCGTTTCCTATATCAACTCGACTGGAAAATATTACCATTTATAACTTTAATCACGCACTTGCTGCTCTCAATTCAAATAGAACAAGTTTAGGCTTCTTTAAGTCGTAAGAGATTTTTCTGTTTATTTTGCGGTATTCTTTATAATTAGACATTAGGAACTTATACCGCGGAAACCCTCTATAAACAGTGGCAATATAAGTTCTAGTATTCATGGTGACTATATTATCAAACATTTAATTTTTGTAGGTATCAAGATGTGGTAAGAGTTTGTGCCTTACAGTATGACTTTAACTTATTTGATAAAGGAGATGAAACCATTGTTTCGGACAGAGGTTTGAATTTAAGCAAGGGCCAGCAAGCGAGGGTAAATCTAGCGAGAGCTATCTATAAGGAAAGTGAAATTTATCTACTTGACGATTCTCTGACAGCTCTAGATGCTCACGTTCAAGATTACATATTCAACGAATGTATAAAAAAATATCTAAAAGACAGGATATGTATACTTGTTACTCAAACCGCTAACCATATTCAAGAAGCTGACAATGTTGTAATAATGGATAAATGTCAAATTAAGTCATTAGGAAAGCCCGACGCAAAAATAATTGAGGATCTCAGTGAGTTGGTGTGTAAAGACGATGATTTGGAAAAGGAAGTAGTTGAAGAAAATGGGAAGGAGGAAGAAGGTGAGGAAAAAGGAGAAGAGGCTAAATTACTAGAAACAGAACAGACTACAAAGAAGAAGGTCTATGGAGAAATAAATAAAAAAGGAGAAGTTGATTTTATAGTTTATAAGAAATATCTGCTGTTTGGTGGAGGAGTTTGTTTAATGTTACTGAATATAATCTTGTATGGTGTAACGCAAGGCACTGAAAGCTATTCAGATCAATTAATCACCAAATGGTGAGTATATATCTTGAAAATATTTGAAACGTTTGCATAGCTAGACGTTGAGCCACAGATCATTTTTTTTTTAAATTACACTCAATGCTACTGACTAATTTTGCAAATATCTTTTAGGGTGGATGAGCAGCAAAATGTTTTAGATCTCGAAACCAATTTTACAAAAGAATTTCACATTAACGGGCACTCACCTGAATTAAACGTTACGGACAATTCTACATTCATAAATTTTACGTTAGTGTTGGAAGAAGCTAGAGCAAAAGAGAAGTTCACAATTAATTTATATTCCCTAATGATTTTTGTAACAACAACGCTGGATTTAATAAAAACTTACGCACTCTATGATTTTTGCAGAAGAGCGTCTATCAATATTCATAAACGTATGTCCCGAACCATTATATATGCTGTGATGGCGTTCTTTGATACACATTTTATTGGAAATATACTGAATCGATTTTCTCAAGACTTAAATAACATTGATGAGCATCTACCATTTGTATTTGCTGAATGCTCCAGAGTGGCCTTCTCTGTGAGCGGAATTATCTTTCTGGTGGCACTAGTAAACTGGAAGTTTCTAGTTCCATTCGCAATATTCTTTGTGATTTTGGTTATTTTAAGAAGACTATATTTACCTACAGGGAGAAGTTTAAAAAGACTGGAAGCGGCAAGTAAGTAACTATATATTTTTTTCTTAGATATAGGTACTTTTAAAGCAATATGCAGGTGGTTTACTCAGCCATTCACCGTCTGTAAAATTTTAGGCCAATCCTATGAAAACTTTCTTAACTGCAGAGACGCTTAACGTGCGCTTTTATATGGTACGACGAAAACTAAATGTACAGCTAAATAAAATAATGTGTCTTCTTAGCATTTATATTATTACACTTTTTTTATCAAAAACCAATAATTACGACTTGTAGAGAATACTTTGCAGTTTTCAAAACCCTGTTTGGATTTTCTGTACGACCATTATGTCCCGAGTAATTGATCATCACAACGAAACTGTCACCATGATAGATGCCTACTATGTGAAAATGTTTAAAAAAGTTACAGTTCTGAGCCATACATTATTTAAAAAATAATTATGTCTGACTAAACTACGTAGAATTAGAAAAAAAGTAAACATTTTTTCTTCAAAATAGTCTAATTCACTAAAAAAATAATATTATTTACTAAATAATTCAAAGGAATAAAAACAATTCGAAAAATTTCTGTTAAGGGTAGTTAGAAAACTGTCCTTATTTATAACCGATTTTGATTAAACTTATTATAGTTAAAGACCCTTATGGTATGATTATTACCTACAATTTTCATTCCATTGTCTTAATCAGAAAGAAAGTTATTTTAAAAAATATCCAATTGATAAGACCCCTTTGGAGAGCCATATCTCAGTAGCGGTGCTCCGGAGGACCACTGTTTATAGGAACTTTTTTTTACTATTTTTGGCTCTACTTTCACCTCCTTTTGTACCAACTTTTCCAAACACCTTGTATATCATTTTCGTATTATTTCGTATTCCTTAGGAAATAATTTGTGGCCCTCTTGGGTTTGGATTTTTTTTGTGTGCAGGTAATTGCAGTACATAATTTTGTTATGAATTTATTCCTATTTTTCCGGTTTCTGAGTTACACTGAAAAATAGTAATAATATTAATAATAATAATAATGCATTTATTGCCCAACAGAAAACATTACATTTACAGGACAGAATAAGTGGATAATTATATGTAAGCATGTACAATAAATAAATGAAACAAATAAATAAACAAAATAAACAATAAATAAACAGCAAAGAGGAAAAAAGCAAAATCTTTATCTAATATTGAAAATTATTGAAATAATCGGACGCAATTCTTAACAAATAAATAACATTACATTGAAATAAATCACACTGATCTGCTATTTGGTTATAATTATTAGCCATTAAATAAACAGGAGATTTTACAAGCACATTAGTTCTAGCATTCCAACAGTAAAACAGTGAAACCTCACGAGAGCCAGGTCTCGTTACTAATGTTTGTTTATGATGGGAATGCCTATTTTATCTTTTAGTTCGAATTAAAAAGTTTTTTTATGTCAAATTAATTTTTAAGGGTATCTTAGAAAAATGTATGGAATTTATTTATAAAATGTTTCAAGATGATAAAAGATGGATCCCTACGTATTTAAAAATGTCAATGTAAAATAATGAATAATTCTATTAAATTAGTGAATTAATATTAGAAATATCGATATTTTTTAAGATAATTCGAGAACCTGAGAGCCAATATTCTAAAAAGCAGTGAATTCTTTATAACATTACAAATTCGATCAGTTTTCTGTCTTTAAAAATAAAAAAGGTCCATATAATATTATATTACGTCTAACCCAACACACAAATCACATCAATAAAATTTCGGTGTATACGAGCAAATTTGTATTAAATACAACGCACAACGCAAATATTTATTGATGTGGATCCACCTTTAGATTTAAGAATAAAACTTGTGGAACAATTTTTGATTTGCAAAGAATGGTGATGGTGTAATACTTCTTACATTTCTCATTTTTAGCTCGCAGCCCGATGGTGGGTCATTTGAATGCATCTCTTGAAGGACTTACGACAATAAGGGCTTATAAGGCCCAAAATATTTTAATCGAAGAATTTGACAGATATCAAGACTTATTTACATCAGCCAACTTTACGTTAACCTGTGCGACTAGGGCTTTTGGTTTCTTCATGGACTTTCTTTGTTCAATTTTCATCGGCATTGTTGTGGCAGTGTTTGTATTTCTTGACACAGGTAAGTATTTAAAATATGTAATCTCAAAAAATATATTTTAATACGAGGGTCAACTAGAATCTAGTACACGTTCTACTAAAAAATCTAAATAAAAATACATACAGGGTGGGGGGACCGCCTAGCCGGGTGTCTTGGCTGGTGGATTTCGATCTGCCGAGGTAATCATCACGGACGCAGGCTGGAAATTGGATGGGTGACCTAAGGCAGGTTCGTGGACGTGGCTGTGGCAGCCTACCAGAGACCTGGGTCGCTCAACATTTTCCGCNTACGCAAATCAAAGATGAGTTGGATTCTGTGTATGGGGACTCTGCACCATCATTTACCACAGTGAAATTTTGGGCAGCTGAATTTAAACGTGGACGTAAGAGCTTGCGAGGCGATGAACCTTCGGAACGTCCAAAAACTGCAACTACCGACGAAAACATCGCCAAAGTCCACCAAATGGTGCTAGACGACTGCCGAATTAAAGTGAGAGAGATAGCAGAGGTTATGAACATGTCAAAAGATCGTGTTTGTCACATATTTAATCCACATTTAAACATGAGGAAGCTGTCCGCGCGTTGGGTGCCGCGTTTGCTCACGTTAGACCAAAAACGTGTTCGAATGAACATTTCCAACGCTCTGTTGGCGCAGTTTAGGCGCAATAAATCCGAGTTTTGGCGCCGATTAATTACTGTAGATGAAACTTGGATACACCATTATACGCCCGAAACAAAAATACAGTCCAAACAGTGGACTGCAAAGGGGGAACCGGCTCCAAAAAAAGCAAAAACTGTTTTTTCGGCTGGGAAAGTGATGGCGACTGTTTTTTGGGATAGTCATGGAGTTATTTTAATCGATTATCTTCAAAAAGGAAAAACCATTACAGGAGCATACTACGCATCATTACTTGACAAGCTGAAGGCAGAACTTGCGGAAAAACGGCCACATTTGCAGAAAAAGAAAATCCTGTTTCACCAAGACAACGCACCGTCTCACACCTCAGCGGTTGCCATGGCGAAAATCCACGAATTACGGTTTGAACTGCTTGACCATCCGCCTTACTCACCAGATCTAGCCCCAAGCGACTTCTTTTTGTTCCCTCATCTAAAAATTGCGCTCGGAGGACAGAGATTTTCGTCAAATGAAGAGGCAATCACCTTCGTGAACAATTATTTTGCAGAGAAAAACGCCGAGTACTATTTGGACGAGTTACAGAGATGGGAGCATCGGTGGGAGAAGTGTGTAGAGTTACAAGGAGACTATGTTGAAAAATAAAAAAAATATATGAAAAAATGTCTTGTATCTTTGTTAAGTCGGACACTTTTCAGACCACCCTCGTACTTCGAGTGAGTGCGAGCGAGACGCAGTATACGGAGGCGGCCAAGACTGGCCGAGAAACATGCGGATATGTTTTAAGGGTAATTTTTTTAGTAAGATTATGAAAAAAAATTGATTGAAAATCATGTTCCTAGCGGGAGCGACGGTACAGTTTGGACTATAAGATTAATTTGATGGCGCTAGNAACATGAGGAAGCTGTCCGCGCGTTGGGTGCCGCGTTTGCTCACGTTAGACCAAAAACGTGTTCGAATGAACATTTCCAACGCTCTGTTGGCGCAGTTTAGGCGCAATAAATCCGAGTTTTGGCGCCTGTTAATTACTGTACATGAAACTTGGATACACCATTATAAGCCCGAAACAAAAATACAGTCCAAACAGTGGACTGCAAAGGGGGAACCGGCTTCAAAAAAAAAGGAAAAAGTGTCTTTTCGGCTGGGAAAGTGATGGCGACTGTTTCTTGGGATAGTTAGTCATGGAGTTATTTTAATCGATTATCTTCAAAAAGGAAAAACCATTACAGGAGCATACTACGCATCATTACTTGACAAGCTGAAGGCAGAACTTGCAGAAAAACGGCCACATTTGCAGAAAAAGAAAATCCTGTTTCACCAAGACAACGCACCGTCTCACATCTCAGCAGTTGCCATGGCGAAAATCCACGAATTACGGTTTGAACTGCTTGACCATCCGCCTTACTCACCAGATCTAGCCCCAAGCGACTTCTTTTTGTTCCCTCATCTAAAAATTGCTCTCGGAGGACAGAGATTTTCGTCAAATGAAGAGGCAATCACCTTCGTGAACAATTATTTTGCAGAGAAAAACGCCGAGTACTATTTGGACGGGTTACAGAGATGGGAGCATCGGTGGGAGAAGTGTGTAGAGTTACAAGGAGACTATGTTGAAAAATAAAAAAAATATATGAAAAAATGTCTTGTATCTTTGTTAAGTCGGACACTTTTCAGACCACCCTCGTACTTCGAGTGAGTGCGAGCGAGACGCAGTATACGGAGGCGGCCAAGACTGGCCGAGAAACATGCGGATATGTTTTAAGGGTAATTTTTTTAGTAAGATTATGAATAAAAATCGATTGAAAATCATGTTCCTAGCGGGAGCGACGGTACAGTTTGGACTATAAGATTAATTTGATGGCGCTAGTAGTCTGGAACGGTATTATTTGTTCGAGCGGAGTTTTTAACACTGAACCTCCAAACTCGCATGCGATTTTTCATGCCTACCGTAATTTTAAAATAGGGGATTGCTGAAGGAGAGACGGAGGAGGTATGCTACGTTAGGTGTAAATCGCAATTGTAAAGTGCCCACAATTAAGATAGATAGATAGTATCTGGTAAACTTTTGTTATTTACATTTCTCAGTCAATCAGCATTGATTATTTATAGACATTTTTAGATGCGTTTATTTGCTTATAAATATGGCAAGATATATGGCGATCATAACGCGTCTTTGTTCAAATTCTAAAAATACGAGTATGCCGCTTCAATCCTATCACCAACAATATGACAGATTACGTAGATTGATATTTTCTGAAATTTTCTGTAATATTGAAAAAGGCTGTTTATTATTAAATGGAATAATTGTTGACATATCACTTTCAATATCAGATTTATCCTCCTGTTCGATGTTCAAGAAATGTGTTTTGTTCATTTGACAGTGACAAATATGATTTCGAACCAATTACAACTCTCTATGTTGATCGATTAACATTTGGTTTTATGGTATCCCAGAAAAACAGTAAGATTTCTATTCATGCAACAGAGAACATTAAGTGTTCTGGAATGTATCAATTCTTAAGGAACTCACATTAAGTTAACGACAAGTTTTTAGATGATTTTCGTATATTTTGCCTTCACACCAAGATAATATTAGATTACTAACGTTAATTCTTTTGGTTACTTTGAGCACATTTCTTTAAATTGTTCAGTTATTATTTTCTTGTTAATTTTAAGAGATTGTGAAAAATTCCAAATGAGTTAGAATATTTTATTTTCAGATACAAGCGCTGGAAACGTTGGACTTGTTTTGACACAAGTCTTTACGTTAGCTGGCCATGTCCAATGGGGTGTGCGCCAATGGGCTGACCTCGAAAACCTTATGACATCAGTGGAGAGGGTTTTGGAATATACAGAGATGAAACAAGAACCCACTGGAGGTGTTACCGTGGAGAACTGGCCCACTGAGGGAGCAGTAACATATGAAAATGTTACGCTGACTTATAATAACAATGAAAAAGTACTGAAAAACTTAAACTTTAAGGTGGAACCGAAACAGAAAATAGGAATAGTGGGACGAACTGGTGCCGGGAAATCCTCTATAATCTCCACATTGTTTAGACTTTACGAGGTCGAAGGGAAGGTTATAATTGACGGAGTCGATCTAAAAACTCTATCTCTTAAATTTCTAAGAACAAAAATTGCTATAATTCCCCAAGACCCTGTATTATTCACAGGAACAATTCGAACCAATATCGATCCCTTCAACGAATTTGCGGACGAGGATATTTGGAAGGTTTTAGGGAAATTACATCTCAAGAACTTGATAAAAACTTTAGATTTCGAGATCACCGACAGCGGGGCATTCTTCAGTTCAGGTCAAAAGCAACTAATGTGCTTAGCTAGAGCACTCATACGGAAAACGAAAGTAGTAGTTCTCGATGAGGCCACAGCAAACATGGACCATGAAACCGACGCCTTATTGCACGATATCATAAAGGAGAATTTCTCTGATTGCACAGTATTTACAATTGCGCATAGGCTTCATTCAATTCTGGAATGTGACAGGGTAATGGTGTTGGACAGAGGCGAAATTAAAGAATTTGNACAATTGCGCACAGGCTTCATTCAATTCTGGAATGTGACAGGGTAATGGTGTTGGACAGAGGCGAAATTAAAGAATTTGATGATCCCGTAGGTTTGATGGAAAACAAAGATGGCATGTTCTACAAAATGGTGGAACAGGCGGGTTTACTCAATTATTTAAGTTAATTTGTTGTGACTTGTAAATATATAGAAAAATAAAATCTTTTACTATTTTACATTGAGAAGTTGATTTTTAGATTAAAATTACTTATATGGCTCCGAAACTCTTATCAACCAAAGTAAATTAAATACATACCTATATACTAAATAGAAAAGAAAAAGAGTTTATATGAATATAGATTCAGAAACTGAGATAAAAGAGATAGAGGGCGTTAAAATTCACATTCTCAAACTGTTATTAACCATAATTTCAGAAACGATAAATTTTATCAAATACAAATATGTCAGTATTAAAAAAGTAAGTTCTGTTTTAAAATTAATTTCTAAAACATATTTTTTTTCAGGAGACTTGGTAGAATAACTTTTTGTGCACCTTCTACACTTATAATCTGTGCAAAATTGGAATTTGATACCATTTGATCTCTCAATCAAATTTATTATTATTTTTAATTAAATAATACATATTAACTGAGTTTTGCTCAATATATGTCTGTATGGGTAAAATTAAAAATAATTTTACTGCAAAAAAAACTCTTTTCAAGATTTGCAGTGACGTATGGTCTGAGGAACCCATCTCTACTAGAAATGTAAAGAAACAATTTTTAATTAAGATTAGTTTCTTTTTTACTTGATCCATCATTTCTCTCACTGTAATACATAATTTAATGATGACACACATCGTTATGGGCTTCCGTCATTTAACTTCATAACACATCATATATGAGGCCTTGGTGATAAAGGTGGTAATGGTTTATCCAATATTCTCTTGACTATATCTTCCTTATTATGAAAGATATCAAACCTCATCTTACCGTAACTATGAAGAGTATATTATATTGTCACGTATTGCTTAATTTTGTGAATGAGAGCGTCACGTTAGATGGAATAAAGAGTAGTATAGTTGCTTTTATTTTATTAAATTAAAAAAAGGTTGCAGTTAGCCATGATTAAAAAAAAAGCTGCAATACTTATGCCATTGTTATAATGGGAGTAAGTTAGTCTAAATCCAAAGAACTATTTAAATTGATAAATTTAGTGGAAAAAGTTTAATTAGAATAGAATACCTCCAAACCCTAGGCTGTTTGTAACTGACGTTTGCAGTAAAAAACTGAAATACCTACCTACATTTTTCTTTGGGACGGTGTATTTTAGCGAAGTGCAACAATCGGGTGTTCCAAAATTCGTACAAGATTTGAATTTTGCGCCATTTGTGCGGTAATGTGTTGCCAACGAAAAAAGACGGCGTTACTAAAATGGAACGCTACACGAAAGAACAAGGCGTGTTTGTTGTTGAGCAATATTTTTAAAATATTGAAGGTTTGGCAGCATCGTTTGCAATTTTTGTACAAAATGTGGTCGGAATATTGTAATTTCATCAATTGTAAAAAGATTATTTGAAAAATTCAACGAGACTGGATCAATTAGTGATCTTAAACACTCTAGCCATCCTTCAACAAGTCTTTCAACACAAAACATCGAAGCAGTTAATAAGAGTGTTGCTGGGAGTTCACGAACACCAGTTCGGCACCGTGGTCAAGAATTGTACATTTCGAGAAGCTCTTTACGGCGCCGGCGTATTCACACTGTAGATTTGCATCAACATGCTTACAAACTTCAATTGACTAAAGAACTGAAACGCACTGATCATCCATAACGTGTCAGTGTTTGATGCGGATTTTGATTGGAGGCATCATC